TAACCTTCAGATTCTCCATCCAGTGTGGATCAGTGCATGGCCATTGGCTGCAGCCAGTAGTCCCTCAGTCATGCCAAAAGTATCTTCACTAGCTCTAGCGGCTAGAGATTTGCATTACGTTAAATGCATGGCAACTTCCAGAAATGGCAGCTGAGCTTCTTTAGTTCCTTGTCTCTCTTTCCATAGCATGGAGGACAACATTCTTCTCCCAGTGTCTTCTCCCAGCCTAGCAACAGTCGCTAAAACTGTCACGAAATTGGGACTAATACGGGCATGGGAGTGGAGAAGGAAAGAGATATAGTTAAAGGGATGGTGGTTGTATTTTAGGGTCAAAAGATGTAGTTCATGTATATATTTGAATGTACTTTTATTGTGAACTGCTTGGCTTAACAAGGGAAAACAGTACAGAATTACAGTAAAATAATGTATTTCCCTACTCTGCATTTTTGGATACTGCTGGTGAAGTGTAAGAATGTTTTAGTGGCAGGGCTATTTTTGGGCAGGAACGCACAGGAATGGAGTCCCGGCTGGCTCCCAAGTTGGCCACGCCCAGCAGGAACTCATTAGCATAATAGGCCACACCCAACAGCAGAAACGCATTAGGATTGGCTACGTTAGGGGTGTGTGGCCTAACATGCAAAGGAGTTCCTGCTACAAAAAAAGGCCCTGGGTTTGGACAACAGACAAGGTCAACAGAATAACAAGCAAAAGGTGGGTGTGGCTGGATAGCCACACTTCTGGTAACATGTGGGTGCGGCCTAATGTGCTAATGAGCTGTGCTGTCAGGGGTGTGGCCCAATATGCTAATGAGTTCCTGCTGTTGGGTGTGGCCTATTATGCTAATGAGTTCCTGCTGGGCTTTTTCTACAAAAAGAGCCCTGGTAGTGGTGACGAAGGTCGTGACAATTCATGCCGTAGTATTCCTCATTTCTGTGACTCGGTGTGAAAGTTGGACAATGAAGAAAGCCGACAGGGAGAAAGTTGGTTCATTTGAAATGTGGTGTTGGAGAATAGGATTATGGATACTGTGGACTGTCAGAAAGACAAATAAGTGGGTTCTAGACCAACTCAAGCCTGAATTCTCCCTAGCAGATAAAATGACCAAACTGAGGCCATCATGCTGTGGTCACATTATGAGAGGACAAAGAGCCACTGGAAAAGAATAATGCTAGGAAAAGTTGAAGGCAGAAGGAAATGAGAAAACCCCAACATGAGATGGATTGGCTCGATCGAGCAAGCCACGGCCCTCAGTTCCCAAGACCTGATCAAGGCTGTTCGCCATAGGGTGTTAGGAGCCTTTAATTCATAGGGTTACAATCAGTTGTAAGTGGCTTGACAGCGCTTAATACATACAGTGAGGGAGTGAGTTAAACACACGAGTCCATGAATATCAGACATGTGTCTGTCTTTCAGGGGTGAGTCTTTAATATTATATTAAATACAAATTTATCTAGAGGTGCTAAGTCAGGGGTCTTTTATTGCCTGCCCGAGTGTCTTTTAGAAAGTGAGTGGGGACCTATGGGGCTTTTGTCCAGCGGGGCTTCTGATTGGCCGTTGGAGAACCGATCGGCTTGGCAGGTTTTTAAAAGTTGCTTCAGTAGCAGTTGCCCCCACAGCACAGGGACCTTCACTGTTTTACTGAAGGTAAGCTGTGTACGCAAGAAAATACCTCAAAACGAGATGTTCATTTAGAGAGGCATCTTGTTAAACAGTTTTTGCCTAAAATGTTGAAAAGTTAATTATGATGTATAACCTGACATTGCGGCAGCCATTTTGTGGTTGTACCCATCACCTTGTGACAGAATTCCAAGGGTGTTCACAGGCTCAAAAAGGTTGGTGACCCCTGTGCTAAGGTATAAGATTGGTTCTCCCTCATAGAATATAACCAAGAATAAGGTCCTCTGGGGTGGCTTCTGCAGTGGTTCTAAGCAGAGATGGATAGTCTTGGCGAGCAGAGATGCAGTGAGATCGCTTTTCTCCTGCTTTTTCTGCGAAAGGTATCGGAATAGGCCACACAGGGCACTAAGAAAAGCCCCGAATGTTTAGTAACACTGAAAATCTGCCTTGAATGCAAGCCACAATACAGGAGAGGCCTTTTAACACACGCTAAGTGACAACCATGCTTATTACTGGAAGTACTACATAGACTGCTTTGGGATTGGGACCAGCCCTGGGTTGCCTCATTTTGTTTTCACCCCCACCCCAAGTTGCAGATGTGCATATAACATGCAAAGATGTGCAATTTTTACTTCTTGAAATATGGTATCTTTATGCTGAACTTAAATTCTTGCTATGCATTATCGATAGGGCAGGTTTCAGATTTCAATGTTAGGAATATTTTCCTTAAATCCACAGAATAAAACACTTGCTAGGTCTAACAGTCTTGATTATTGGTCTACTGGCTTTGTAGCAGTCAAGTTTTCAAAGCAGGTTTTAATGCAGGCTTAAAATAATGGCCACACCTCTTTGTCCAGGTTGCACCTTTCCAGGACAGCTGAATGTAGAACAGTTCGTGGCAAAAACCTAATAGGAATGGGCTCAGAAGTACAGCAGCTGCCTATAAATACATTGAGGACAGACTTCTCTCCTCCGCAGAGTTTATCTTGTGGTTTGACTTTCAGCAGAGTCCAATTTTATGTCCCGAGGGAAAGTCTAATAACTCAGTGAGGTTTCTCTTGTCAGCCTCAGTTGAACCTGGGTAGCCTCACTTCACTAAGTGCTAGCTAGCTTTGGTTGCATTCCTGTTGCATTTCAGGGCCTGCATATCTTGGACTGAAGGTTTGCCTTGTGGTATGTTTGTGTTAGAAAGCAGTGTCGACATGATTCAAAATGCAGTTGCTGTGTAACTGCTCTGGGCTGCTGGATGGTTGCTAAGGCAGTTGCTGCATAAATAAGAAATCTTTTAATACCCTGTGAACTTGAAGGTTCTCCTTCCCTCCCCTGACTGCTGTGCTCACGGCTAGATGGAGTGGAAGCTGCCCGGTTCCACAAATGAATGGCTGCTGATGCAAGGCATTTTTAACTTTGCTGTTTGCCTTCTGAATCGATCTGTTGCTTCGGAGGAGGAGTTGCCTGTCTACATTCACTTCCTAACTTGCTGTGAAGGATAATAAAAGGATGCTTGACTAAGCAACCCTGTTGAAACGCTTAATCTTGCAGCATTTAATAACAGTGCGGTGTTTGATTTCCACAGGTCGCTGGGGGCTCTCTCTGCCTTGGAATTGGGATGGTTTGGGAGCAGTTTCCTATCCGGTAAAACTGGTTTAACAGTTATTGGTGCACTTAAATTTTGTCCCAAGGTCAAGCAATCAAGTGCTTCTGGGCAAAGTATGAGAACTGCCTAGACTAGGCTGTGAGCCCTTGTGGACTAGAGCAGGGTGCAGACAAGCTGATCAGGGTACTGAGGGAACCTGCAACTCTCCCATGGGGACTAGAAGCTTGGCCATTTGGCTACTGGTTTGGTGCCTATGAATATTTCAGTGAGTTGTAGTCTGGCCTACTTCCTCCATGGAATCCCTAAGCATCTTTGAGGTCAAGCTGAATAAAAGACTGAAAGGTAGCAGACTGACCCATCTGTCCTCGGAGTTTTAGGTGTTCTTTCAACAAATTAGGCAGTAAATCTATTTTAGGCTGCTTATAGGGTTTTTATAATTCAGCGCTTCTCCGTTTAAAAAAATTCTGTACTATGTAAACGGGTATATCTAGTCTAGGTTAGAATCCTCGTTCCCGGTACGCCTGCGTATTAATCGCTTCCTGGCATTCTGTTGCCTGCTGTTTTGAAACTTGGATCTTTTCGTGTCAAGAATTTCTGTACTGCTCTCTTGCCTACAGCTCCCTAATCTTGCTGTGTTGCTCTTTGGTGTTTGGCTTCTTATATCATACAGCGTGGCTAGATAGATAAATACAAATGGGAACCTGCAAGGACTTGTGGGAGGCATCTCATTTTCCCGTCCCCCACTATTTCTTCTTCCTTTTCCTGAAAGCTCCTATAGACTCTCCTCTTTTCCTGCTTCCTTATCTCCTTAGGGTTGCCAGCTCCGGGTTGGGAAATTCCTGGTGACTGAGGAGTGGAGCCTTGGGAGGTGATGTTTGAGGAAGGAAGCAACCTCAGCAGGGTATAATGCCATAGATCCTACCTTCCAGAGGAGCTATTTTCTCCAGTGGAACTGAGCTGTCATCTGGAGATCACTTGTAATTCCCGGTTATCCTCAGCCATAGATTCCACCCTCTGAAGCAGGGCCCTGCCCTTCTGCCTGTGCCTTTTGCTTACAGAAACTGAAGCCTGGAATGCTGTGGTTGCCTAGCAGTAGCCAGTGAAGAAACCCAGTTTTTAAAGCTACATGCCCTCTTTTTATCATTTTTGGGATTTTCAAATCCCCAATGTGTGGGTGTATATATATAATGTTTTTCTGCAAACCTTTTCAGGCTTGTAGAAAGATCTGTCTTGCCTGTTCAGAGCTCCAGTCACTGGGTTTAAGTACCTAAAGATTTGGCTGACTTGGCTATTACTATATAGCTTCCTGCCCCTCAGCTGAGATCTTTATCAGAGGCTCTGCGTTGTCTGCTGACATTCCAGTTTTGGAAAGTCTTCCTCTAGTTGCTTGCCTGACACCAGATCTGGTGAGTTTCTAGTGTCAAAAATCATCCCCTACTAGGGATAATTTTTTCATTAGTTTTGTTGTCAACTATTGTCTGCCAGTTAAATAGTTGCTTTAGTTCTTAGGTCAGCCTCTCCTCTCTCTCACTTGGACTTGACCTCCCATCTATTGCAACAATACTGACCTACCTTGCAAGGCTGTTGAAAGGATTAAGCTTAATATCTTTAAAAAATGCATTTGGAAGTGCTGCATAATCTGATGTTTAGTGTCACTACTAGCCCCAGGGATATGGGTTCAGGAGATCGGATGCTTTCAGTCTTCTACCATCTAATCGACTAGGGTGATTGTGCTTTTAAAGTTCAGTAGTTGATGTTTCCTGCTCTGCTGTTTTTTGTTCCCCAGGATCTCAGCTTGCCCAACGGTACTCCTGTAGACACTTCTAGCCCAGCTTCCTCCTCCTCCCTTCTTAACAGATTGCAGCTGGATGATGACTTGGACGGCGAAATGAGAGACCTCTTCGTCACTGTTGATGATCCAAAGAAACATGTCTGTACAATGGAGACTTACATCACATACAGGGTCACAACCAAGGTACTCATTTGCAGCCTACTTTCTGTGCCTCTTTGCTTTAAACTGAGGGCTTCCTTGTTTTACCTTCCTTGTAAACTCCAAACTAGAAGTAGAGGTTTTCCATTCTTAAGATATTTCATGCCAGTATTAAAAGTTTCCAGTTTTGTTGATGCTAGGGGATTTTTATAAGAAGACACAATGAGATTTCTCCTTTTCTCTGATTTATGTTGGTCCAGTTTTTATACAGTTTGATCACGGTATAAGATGTGTTAAACACCTCTACACAGTGCCCCTGCCGCCTCTAGAATATGCCTATGTGGTATGGGCGAAGTGGACGATGTCGAGCATTACATTCTGAGATGTTCATGGTACGAATCACTTAGGCAAAGGTTTATTTATCCTATTGCACCTCTGTATAATGGAATTTCAGAGCAGGATTTGACCGTTTTCTTGCTCTCTGATACTGATGCACATGTTACTATCAGAATGGTTTTGTTTGCACTGGCGACAAAAAAGATAAGATTGGGTCTAGGACTTACTGCAAGTTATTGATGTATAATGTTTGTGCTTTGATTTATTTTGTATTGTTATGGCCAACGGCTAAGACAATAAACTAAACTTGAAACTTAAACACCTCTACACTTGAGGCTGATCCAGAGAAATCTGTCTTTACAACCAACAATGTAGGGGCTGCTAAATTATTTTTGTGCAGTGACTTCCACAAACATGAAGTTTGACACTTGTAAACTGTTTACCATGCACCTAGCTGGCATGTGGCTGTGCCACCTGGATTTCAGTGTATACTCTTGATAGCACCCAACTAAATGCATGCATGGAATCCATGGTAATGATAGAATTTTGAGGTGGTGTGAGATGCCCTAGAAGTTCTGTTTATAGTAGTACCTCTGAGGGCCTATTCATTCATGCAGAATATCAGTTGAGAATCCAGTTGTCTAGTGATACGTGTGTGAATTGGTCCATGGGTTCGTTGGGTGGCATAGTGTCTGTTTATGTCACTGCCTATTCCCAGTGCCTCCTGGCTTTCTCCCCACACAGTCTGCCTGTCCATGAGGCAAGCAACATATGAATGCTGAAAACTGTTCTGCAGTGCAGACACACTGTCACGTAGGAATAGTTTTCCTTGGCCCCTATCTTCAGTGTTCAGATGCCCAGTTAATATTATAAACGGAGTAATTTCTCTTCTTGTCACCTTCCTAACTATTGCTGCTGAAGCAGATTTGCCTTGCAGGATATAAATTCTGTAAAAGTAGTATTGTGTTCTTTTGGCAGCATTGCTAAAGATAAATGACTTGGTATTGCATGAACTGCTAATAAATATAGTCTAGGTGCATGGCTGAAAGATGTGTTCAAATAGAAGGTACTTTGTTCTTTTTCCTTCCACCTTCTGTGTATTGTGAAATCCACATTCTGGTGGAAGAGGCATTGCTTTCTAGGTGCATACAAATACCTTCCCCCGCAGACACACAAAAATGCCTTTCAGTAGCGATGATAAGAGTTTGTGTACTTCTGCTTGAAGTTTGCACTACTTCTGTATGGGAGTGTTGTGTGTAGTTTGTAGATACCCTAGATAGCTTAAGGCAGGGCTCTTATCTCTTCCAAACACAGGTCATAACCACTGTTCCCTCTAAGGTGAGTTAGTGTGAGCTAGCTCACTGTTTTTTAGCTTCCAGCTCACACATTTTTGTCTTAGCTCAGGAAGGATGGCTCCAGGACAAACTAATTTATGCAAAAGCCCCAATCGCTTGCTCACAACTTTAATGCCAGTAGCTCACAAAGTAGAATTTTTGCTCACAAGACTACACGGCTTAGAGGGAACATTGGTCATAACTACTCATATTGGTGTAACTGTCATGTCTTCTTACATAGAATCTGTCATGGGACTAGGGCTGGATTGAGCCTCAGTCCTCTGCTAAACCTGTGCTTTAATTTCTATAGCAATTGGCCTCTTTAGTTGAATCTGTGGTCATGTTTCCCAGGAGGCTTCAGGACTCTGCTAAGTGCTGTGGCCGTCTGGTACCGATAACCTTGTAGATGACTTCTGCCTTGCATGACTTTTGCCTTTTATTTATTTATTTATTTATTTATTTAATTGCATTTATATCCCGCCCTCCCCGCATGCGGGCTCAGGGCGGCTTACAAGACATAGGTGTAATACAACACCACAGTTACACAATTAAGGCACACGGTGCAATAAAATACGGTTAAAACAATTTAAAACAATTAATTACAGTGGGCAACTCCCAGAAATCTACCGCGACTAACATACTCGCTCCCTATTGTACATCACATTGAGTCAAAGAAAGGGATGAGTCATCCTAACCCAGCGGTACTGCTTTGCAGTCGCCTGTTGGTGGTGGCGGCGGCGGCAGCCGCTCCTATTCAAAAGCCTGGTGGAAGAGCTCCGTCTTACAGGCCCTGCGGAACTGTAACAGGTCCCGCAGGGCCCTGATCTCCTCCGGGAGCTCGTTCCACCAGATAGGAGCCGCCACCGAAAAGGACCTGGCCCTTGTGGCAGCAAGCCTGGCCTCTTTAGGGCCCAGGGTCACTAGGCGGCATAGTTCCCTCTAAGCTGAGTTAGTGTGAGCCAGCTCACAGATTTTTAGCCTCCGGATCACACATTTTTGTCTTCGCTCACGAAGGAGGGCTCCAAAGCAAACTGATTTCTGCAGCAGCCAAATCGCTCGTCACAACTTTAATGCCAGTAGCTCACAAAGTAGAATTTTTGCTCACAAGACTCCACAGCTTAGAGGGAACACTGCTAGGCGGTGTTGTGACCCCGACCGAAGTGCTCTTTGGGGCCTATATGGAGAAAGGCGGTCCCTCAGGTATGCCGGACCCTGGCCATATAGGGCTTTAAAGGTAAGGGCTTTTAGAATGTTTATACATCACCAAATACTAAATAGATAGAATATCTGAACATAGCTTCCTGGGACTCTCTTAGTCAGCCCTGACTCTTTGAGTCAACCTAACCCAGCTTTCCTTGACTTTCCTGACCCCAGAGATAGAAAGGGCTGACTTTGTTGTATATGTCAAATGTATGTTACATTAGCCCTGTGGTTGGAAAAGGGTACTTAATGTCTGGATTTAGTTTTGTTCCTTGTTGTTCTGGTCAACCACCCTTCCATTATGGGTCTTGACAGAGCAACCAAGGATATCCTTTATAGAACTTCAACAATTTATGTATTGGGGTTGTGTTGAAATATTCTGTGTTAAATATTGAAATGCTACAAAAGTGCTTTCTGACTTAAGACTGTGTAATGGAATAAATTGAGTTTCAGTGTAGAACAGCTATCTCTCTCTCTCTCTCGATGCAGTTGGGAAGCCAGCTTCTCTCCCTCCCCAAAATGAACACAGTGGAGATGGGCGTGCATGAAAAGGTTCCTGAACCCCTCATTTCTCCAACAGAATCCTGGGAAATGTACTTAATAAGTTCAGTTAAATCACCAGCTTTCTCTCACAGTTTCCGGGATTCTATGGGTTCCTGTCAAACCAGTTCTACACCTTTTGATATGCTCACAGTGTTCCGAATTTTGTGTCCATGTAAGACTCACCCTTGGATGTTTGCATGTTTCAGGCTTAAAGCACATCTTGATCCTGGAAACTCCACTGTCCTGGGCACCAGCACACTTCTGGGAACTTTTGTTTTGCAGTTGTTCAATCTTTTTTTGGCTCTGCTTCCTTTTGCTGATGCGTCTAGCACACTTAGGTGGTCAAGGGCTTGAACAAATGCTGCATCCTTTTGAGGAGGTGGTACACGAAGTGTCCCTCAGGTTGTGCTGCTATTCATTAGGTGCTGATGAAGTGAGACTCCGGACCTCCTTTGTGTTAAAATGGTTTTGGAAGTACCTTCTGTTGTACAGTACCTGTGGAGCCACAGATGACCAGATGCGGGCCTTTCCCACCTCTGTTGACCACTGCTTCTGTGTTAAAGTGGGGCATTCAAGCAAGGCTTCCTCTTCTGACTCAGATGCTTTCACGCAGAGAAGAGTACAGGGGAGCATGATAGCTGGTGTGCTGGCAGTGGTAGGGCTGGAGTAGGACAATAGAGACCTGGTGTCAAGGAGCTCAAACCTGAACCCCATGGGTCCCCAGGAATGTCCCCTCTAAGTTCCACAATGTTGTGAGCAGAAATTCTACCTTGTGAGTGATAAAAGCTACTAGCATTAAAGTTGTGAGCTAGTCTACATTTGACTACCATGTAAATTAATTTTTAGACGATTACTTCTGTAACTTTGTAAAAATCTCAGAATAAATTATTTTATATTATATTTAAACTATATTTTAAGAATAATTTAACCATTACAAGAGAGAACCCACCCCTTTCCACTATATTGATAGACCTGTCTTCTGGAGAACAGGTCTACGCACACCAGGCCATTGTATTGGTAGACCTGGCCTCCAGAGAGCAGGTCTACCCGCCCCTTTCCATGATATTGGTAGACCTGGCCTCTGGAAAGCGGGTCTACCCACCCAAGTCCACTATATTGGTAGACCTGGCCTTGGACTGTTGCCCTGTGCTGAGCCTTAGAAAATATATCAGAACTGGGGTGAGGGGGAACTCTTGCATTCTACATTTTTTTTAGTGAAATATGACAACCAGCACTACAGGTCAGGTATAACAGAGGACAATCACTGTCAGTTCCCTGCCTAACCTAAAAAACAGGAAGTTGCTTAAATGTTATCAACGAGCCCAAACTACTTATTTATTCAAATATTTATATCCCACTTTCCCCTATGACTCAAGGCAGCTTACAAATCATACTGAAAAGTATAATAGAGGTGTGCAAAAAAATCCCCCCCCCAGCCCAGTTGTAGCCTATGGGGACAATTATAGTTAATGGCCCCATAGGATATAATGGAGAATCGATCTGGGACTTGAGGGAACTGTGTTTTGAGGTAGTTGCACCAAATTTGCAGCATAGCTGCTGGTGCCTCTCCTCAAAAACCTCTCAAAGTTTCAAAAAGATTAGACAAGGGGGTCCAATTCTATTGGCCACAGA